ATCACATAAAGCACATAAAGAAAGAATAAAAGAAAGTAGGTGGTTACACGTACAATCGAATAAGTGGTGATGGTGTTAGAAAAAATAGGAATTCATCTGTGTGATGCTTTTAAAATCTTTTTGTTTCACTTATATAAGTTGTTATTATTTTGTACACATCTTTGTGGAGGTCAAAGTCAAAGTTTCTTCGCAGTAGTAGTGTCTGTATATCAATGTCAATATGAAGATCACGTTGCTTTATTTTTTCAAATAGTTCTACTCTAGCTAAACGATAGTTGGAACACATCTTTGGAACAAAAAGAACTTGGTTTTGTTCCTACGTCGACAGCCGTTTCTGATTGTGTACGGTTACAAGATGCATCAAATTCAAGATATCATATTGATATTCTAAAATCACCGGAATTTGGCCTATTACCTAAAGATCATATTGATAAACGTTTTACAATGGCAAACATTTGTGATTTGTCAGGTAATTTTGAATGATTTGTTGTTCTTATCTATAACTCAGTTACATTTCTTTTATCATTCTAGCGTAAATGGAAACAAAATTATTGGCATATTGTGGTAGACGTGTTATGAGTGATGTTGTGCAAAAGGCTGCTTCTGGAAAAGGTGAATTTGGGAAATGGGAGTTACAAACCTTAAACTATTTACCTTGTTTTTAGATCTTAGTGATTTACTCCAGTTAATTGTTTTTAATAATTTCACTCGTGATTACTGCAAAGAGCTGCCGAAACATGTTCAAACAATATATTTAGAAGTATTTGATAATCTATGTCTGTCTGATGTAAAAGACACTCCCGTAACAGGTAGAAAAATTAGATTTGTTTTCTTATTTTGCTTTAAAATAATGTACTTTTCTTGTTTGAACCTCCGCACAAAGAAACTAATTGCGAAATGAGTCTCTGCGATATTTCCAATTAAAAATTTAGAACTTGTTTTTCACAGATCTACGTTTTTTTTAGTTATATAGTTTTGCTTCATTTGTTTTCTTTAATGATATCTAAATATTTTTAGATCAATTAACGTCATTATTAACATCTTATCAAGAATCAAAATCAGAAAAGGGAAAAGAAATAGCGTTATGCATTCGAGGTAATTACATACTGATGAATTTATGATTTACCTGTTTTATTTCTAATGTGTACTTTTCGTTTTGTTTTCCACTACATTTTGAAAAAATCTCAAAACTCATAACTGAACATCATCTTGAGCAAAATTTTGCTCAGAATTTACCAGAGCATGTCAGAAAGACATTTCAGAAAATACATGCTGAATATTTTTAGAGTTTTTTGTTTTCTGTCGTTTGTTTTTTGTTGGTCTTTGTTAAACACATTTAGGTTGTTGAAAATAAAAATAAAATGTTGATTATACCTTTCTTAACGTTTTCATCGTTAGATTTTGACTTATGACAAAGTTCTAGGCTTGTGACATTTACAACATTGTCAGTATTACAACATGAGACTTTCGCTGCCTTTGACCGTAACTTGTTTTCCAGAGTGTTACGTTCAGTGAAGAGAAATTTTTGTTTGTATGTTGTAGAGAAGCGAATTCTTTCAGGAAGATGCTTGTTTAAATGTGCAACATATTCTTGAAAAAATCGTTCGGTTTCGCTACAAGGATAAACCTCCTCGCGTTTACAGCACAGCAAGAAATGAATAGGGGAAGAAACTAACATAATAAACAAGGAAACAAGATAAATACAGTAGTATTTGTTTTACTTTTTTTCTTTGATTTTGTTCAATTTTAATCGTCAAATTATTTTGATCGTTTACTTACCTAAAACTGAAAAGTCAAAAAGATAACCGATTATCATTCTGATCTAAGATTTTTGGTCACCGATCATCCAATTACTGACACCCAGCTTGTTTCAATCAATAAAACGAAAATAATATGCGATGAGCTATTATTTTAGCTATAAAATAACTTTTCGCTCAGAATTTCTTTTTAATTTTCTTCGTTCCAGATCTCTAGTCACTTAGAAATATACATACTAGTTGTATGAATAAAAACTATTTATTTGAACAATTATCGAACAGTTTATTGTAATGAAAAGGCATTGCTCAATCGACTATCTCAGATTTCTTCCAACATAGTGAGCTGCTTTAGAGCAAACAGTTTCATGAATTTCGGCGAAAACCGAAAGTCCTAAGGTTGTTACGTTGCTGAGATATTCAATTTTTGCAAAGAGTTCGAAAACACATAAATTCCGGCATCTAAGGAAACTATCTATTTAAACTACGTACAACTCTATAGCGACACATTACTTAGACTTACGAATTCTATCATAACTACTAGATAGTGTCTACTACAAATTCACACCACCGCGAGGTCCAGACATACTTCCGTTCTTTTACAGTAGATGATCCCGTGAGGCAAACGGTTTTCTCCGAATTTCTCGCCCCGTACGATATTGTTGGAGTACACCGCGTGTACTATCATGAGCCATGATGGGATTTTTGGGAACTTCGCAAACCTAATCCATGTAAGTTACCTGACTAGTCGATTAATTATTGGTGATATCGAAACACTACAGCTCTGCGATTTATTTTAGTCAGTTCAAGATCCAAAATGTTGAGTGACTATGATGAATACTCAATAATCTGGTTGATAGATAAAGCTAAAGTGGAATACAAATATACTGTATACAGCTTAAACACTGACATTCCAATTTCAAACATTCCAATTCCATCTAGAATTACAACTTATCAAAACAGCGATAGAAGCCAATGCATGCAATACGTAAACCGCCACATACGAGATTCTAAAGTAAGTACTGTTCACAGCTTTCATGTAGTGCACTAACGACAGACTAAAAAATTAATTAGTCCACAATCATGTCAGCATGGTGAGTTCCTACGATTGTTTAGAATAGAATAACAATACACTATCTGGATCCATCTTTTACGATTCGAGTATTTAGCTCTGTCTAGCCTAAAATAAGTTTAAGATTAAGCGACGACCGAAATCTATATAGTAAAACAAAGCACGAACGTACCTTGCTGTAAAATTCTCTCAACTTTATGATTCTATAACCTACAGCTTACGGCTATTAAAAAGACCTCTTGTCAGAAAATAAGCTTTTCTCTGTTTGTAAAATTAGAAAAGCCTTCTATATATTTTCCTTCCAGGACCGCTCCATATCAAAATATGATCTTTGTTTTCGTAGGAACTAATTATTGTACTTACAGTGAAGAATTCTACTGTTAGATATAAAATGCTCAAAGATCTCAAGGATTTCAGCTCAGTCAAATTAGTGCTCCTATTAAATGAAGATGTTTCTCATCCAACACAAACCGATAGCAGCTTATCATGTGAAACTGATGCCAACAACTGCATTGCACATTGTAAGAATTTCAAAGAAGTATTGGAAAAAATTGTCATTTACATTCAATTGCAACAGAAAGAGAAACTTTCGTATAGCATATCAAATGTACACAAACAACTATTTTCAACATCATCAGCTACTAACGAAAATATGGAATTTTTTAAATACCAAGACGTGTTTATTGGACGAAAGTCAAATTCAGGTGACAACAAGTGTTACACCTGGCGTTTGCTATGCTGTTCAACACCGCACGAACACGTTTCAGCTCTTATCGGGAACAAGGATCCTGAGAAACACGAGTACACCACGAATCTTTTAATTCGAAAATTTGATGAAACAAACAAGCTGCTACCATCGCGATGTAGAGAAACGATCCTAGTGTATGTCTATCTGACAGTGTCAAATTTCGTACTAAATAAATTGAAACATAACAGCTCCGGATGGATCGCTTTTCATCAAGAAATTTGTGCATTCGGAAGTCGACAATCAGCAAACTTATTCAATCTACAAAAGAATTCTATGATATTGGAACTAGAAATTGAAGTTAGACCGTACAGTGTACGACAATATAGTGACTCTGGTATAGTTTTTACTGCAGGAGCAATATTTTATTTGAAAGACGTCCATGTCATAACAGCCGATAATTTCTACCAGTTGAAACTGGTTGCCTATTCAAAAAACGATGAAAACTTTCGGGAGAGTGTTCAAGTAAGTGATTTGAAAAAAGAAAATCCTTTTGTGACTGTGTTTTATCGTGAAACACCAGAGAAAGTGAACTAAGATTTTAGACTATAACCAATCTAGTCTTGCTGTTGAGAAAAAAATCTTTACAGCAGTAAAACGTAATGCACAGTGTATCTTTGAGACATTGATGAAATTATTATAAAGGCTCTGTGAGGTTTAAACTGTTGTTATGATCTACGGTATCTGACGACACCTTTCTGTAAATCATATCTTTTCTGTCTCGTCATTCATTGTTCTCTGTTCTCTCTCGTGTAATATATAGGCATGTAGCGAGATGGGAGTCTTGACTTCGAGTACTCGTTAACGAGTTGAATGTGTTGAACACTGAAAGGTCTTTCCTATAAAAAATAATCTAGTTTTTGATTCCTCTTTGTCCTGAGCTCCTCAGTTATCTATGTTCTGTCTAAAATTTGCTCTGGCTTTCCTCTACAAGTCATATTTCTTTAAAAATAAGCGAACTATTAAAAACGCAAATAATTAATTTTTTTGAAAATCCGACTTTTTGTATGAATGAAGCTCATTTTTAAGGCTTTAGAAATATAATGGCGTAAGTGAAAAGTCATTTTGAGTGAAATCCTTCTCAAGAACTTCATGTTTATTAATGTCGAATTCTCGGTTCTTCAACACAAGCCAAGTACATGTCGACGTGTCCTCGTCTATTGCGAGTTCTCGTTGACGAGCTCTCGATGTTCTACGAGACTACCGAGAATTCTTGTTCTCGGTACTTTCCTATGTATAAAGGGTGGGCCAGAAGTCCTGACTCGATTTGAATAATAAATCTTTCTATAGTGAAACAAGTGGTTGTAAATTTGTCTCTATGAAGAAAAGATGCAGTAAAAAACGCTCTACAAAATGACGATTGATTGACCCCGTTAG